GGCCCCGGGATGCCGTGCACCTGCGGAGCGCTCCCGCCGCGGTGGCTCCTACTGGGCCCGGCTCTGCTCTCCCCCTCCGGGCACGGCCCGGCACAGCAGCCGCCGCTGCCCCTCCCTGCTCCCGGGAAGTCATCCCGCACTTCGTCCCGCGGAGATGATGAGGATGAAGATGAGCCCCAGGAGCAGGGGCTGGCGCAGCAGCCTCGCTCCTCATTTATTCTAATTGCGCTGGTTGTGAAAGCTCTCCAGTTCTCAAGTGTTTATCTCCTAAATTATCTTTCCTTTGATTGCTTGTAATAAGTTTAACGCGTGTGGTTGGGTCTGTAACCTCCTCCACTATTCATAGTTTTAAAAAGCGACTCCGCTGACAGGCAAGTGTTGCTGGATCAGACTTTCTGTTGGCTGGAAAACAATTACTTGGAGAGTGAAATGTTTTGACTCTAATATTCTGCACAAATCTGACTTTCTTTAAAATAAAAGTTTGGCCACCTTCTATCAGTAGGGTGTTTTGGAGCAGGGAGAATTCAAAGCGGGAAACAGCTGGATTGACTTTCAACACAATATTTTCTTATCTGTTACTGTCTGAAACATGCAGATACTTGGCATTTACTTTTTTCCTGAACTTTTTTTAAACTTTTGACAATTGATGTGTAGTGAATCCACTTGAAGGTGAGCCTGTTTCATGGGAACCAAACCTCTTAGTTCTGTGACAAACTCCTAATTGTATCATTTCGCTTTATCAACATCCCACCTCCCAAAGCTGTACCTGTTTTCATCCTAAAGCATCCTAGCTGCATGTACTTACCTGGACCTTACCATGGGGTACTGCAGTGTGTTTTTTAAAAGTCCGATGACAAAACCCTGTAATCTTAGCCTGTTTGGTTCTTATTTTTATCCTGTTTTCTCAGAGCCACCTGTATCACCGGAGCAGCGCTGGAATAAGCAATGCCCTGAGTATCAACTAAGGGGGTGATGCTTAGGGAGGGAAGTGAAATACCATTTCCTGTAACTGAGTTTGGGGTGAAGTGGTGATGCAAGTTTGGACTCACTCGTCGGTTGGTGCTCTGGTGAGCCAAAGTGGTGACAGCTTTGGTGCCGATGCCGTTGGTGGCACAGGGAAGGGAGAGCTGCCACCTTGCATGCACAGTTCTGGGGGATTTCACTTGTGTGAGTGTCCTGGAGTCCAGGTGGACAGGAGTCTTGGGAGGGGGAACAGCAATCCAGGCTGACTTTGGCCTTGCTGGTAGCAAACAGGTGTCGTCAGAAATGCCGGCAGTGCTAAGGCCATTAAATATCAACTGCTTTGTCCTTAAAGACTAGCAGTTAAGAAGGGAAGAAAGATAATTTGATGTACTAGTCAATACCATCTCGTTGAATATTTCGGTGTGGATACTGTATAGCTATATGGGTCAGAGAAAACCTTTATGTCAAATACAATGTTTTGAAGTCATGTGATTTTTCTTACCTTAACTTTGAAAAGCCTGTGAACTTGGGCGCCAAACTAATCGTTCTTCCCATGGAAACGTTCTGGGTTGTCTTCTGCAGGCAGAAGAGAGAATTTGAGAGGCTAGTGATCTCCTACAGTAAAGCTGAAGGTGCTTTCTCACCTTTATATACACATCTATATTAAAAGCAATGATCTTAGAAGTAGAATATTCTGCATATGTAGTTTTTTTTCCTATCAGCTTGTGGAGAAGCGACCAGCTTATATCCCTGAGTAGTATGAAGAGCTTCACTAGGATTCCTATAGGTATCCCTCATGCTTTCCGGGAAGTCTGATGCAATGCACAGCTTGACACCTGCAATTTAAGTACATTCAATAGGCCTTTGCAGCATCTTAATAAATAGCCTGGGGGAAGGTTCCAGGAAAGCTTTGTCCAGAAGAAAGCAGAGACTTCACTGTGTTGTGTGTCTCATTATTACTTTTGCTGTTACTTCACATTTTCATACTGCAATGATGCCTCGATGCTTTGGGCAAAAGTGCTTTAGTGACATGCTGAAAGTAATGCTGGTCTGGCAATTTGGACTGTAGGAGCAAGAACTGAAGCACCAGTGGGTACCCTGGGAAAGTCTCAATGCTCTCGGGCTTGTCATCCTTAATTAGATCCCCCAAATTAGGAGTGAAAGTTCCCTGTGTTCGCTGAGGGGCACTTGGAAAACATGGCTGCTTCTAGGGCTCTTTAGAGCATCTGTAATAGAATAAATACAGTAAATAGCTGAAGTAGCGTGAGTATTTCTTTCACTCCCATTCTCTTTAAATAACACCTGTTGCATGTTGCAGCAGAACAACTCCCTGCCCTGATGCTGTGGTAGACTTTTCAGGACAGAGTGGGGTGGCTGAAAACAGAAAGGGAGAAGAGTGAGGAGACAGATGCAGTGTTTCAGGATGTCCTCATGGATTGGTATGAGGAACCAGTACTTGCTGTAGACCTAAGTCCGAATAAACAGTGCACATCTGAAAGGGAGGATGAATGGCTCATCCATCACTGTAACCATGAAACAGCTGCCATATCTCCTTGCCATATACTTAAAAAAACAAACCCAAAACTTAAATGAGCTTGGGGAAAAAAAAAAAGGCTCTTGGACCTCCATTATTTAGTGGGCATGGTGTGTCTGGTGACTGGTTAGTGAGAACTAAACATTGTGTTAGACAATCTCTCAATGTGGTGACATGTCATTTTGGATGAAAGCTAAGCGACAGGTTTTACCGGCTGATGGTGGTTGCTGTTAAGTAATGTGAGCATGTGTTTTGAAATCTGCTTAACTTTTGAGTCATCCTTTATTATAAGGCTTCACGCATACAGGTACTTGTGCTTGATGTATCTGTCTAATGGCATCACTCTTGCCTATGGGATATAATTGGCTTTCAGAAGATAATTTCAGAGTCCACCCTGTTTTTTGTTTGAACAGCACGAACGTTTGAACAAAATGAATGTTAAGGCTTTTTTCTCTGGCAGAAATTTGCTGCCTCAGTGTTACTGGGATCACTCGCAACAGCAGTTTCACTGCGTGAGTTCAGAGTTTTGCCCCTGGTGTCTTCCTTCTGTTTAAGCACTCAGGCTTCAGGGTGGAATTTGCCAGTGCAAAACCTTTGCAGCTTGTTATTGTGTCTGGAGTAGGAACAAGTGGTGTGTGAGGGTAATTTTTTGCCCCTTTGCTGAGGGATAAGCTTTACACTCTAATTTTACTTACTCACTGCTTGCACATAAACAGGCTTCTGTGTTTTCTGTTGAGTGGCATCATGTGCAGGCTGTAGTGAAATGATTTTGTGGGCCAGATGTGGATTTACAGTCAACTTGAAATATCCCATTGCAAGTTAAGTTTCCTGAATGTGTTAAGTACTACTGAATTTGAGGGCAGGAGACTAAAGGTCAGAAACTTGTCCCTCTTTTCTCCTCATCTGTGTTCTTGATGTGGCTTTCAAGATTATTCAAAAGCACATGTTTGTAGACACTATTGTTATTAAATATGACTTTTTTTTTTTAGCTTCCTCATGTAACCTCTATCAAGTGGGTCACACTGACACTCACAATAATGAGTCACGTCAACAGTAAATGCAAACCATATGGGGTTTTTTTCTCTCTTCTCTTACACATGGCTTTTTGTTACTTTCTAAATTCTGACTTGAATTTAAACCCTGTTCAGCGCCTGAATATATCTTTGGAGTGGGGAACTGTGTATTTGGAGGTTTCTGTTGAGAAACTAGAGCTTGATGTCATTACTTGCACTGTACTAAAATATGTTCTTTGCCACAGATTTCCTGTGTAACCTCATACGAGTCACTCTGTCCTTTTAAATTATTTTTTTTCCATGTCTTGGTTCATCTGCCTGCAAGTGGGCATGTTTTGAAGCTTCTCTAAAGTGCTGCAGAGCAGACCCGTGAGCTGTGTTTAAGGGTCTCATTTTGGGTGGTGCTCTATTGGCGTGGAATAAAAGATGCTTATGTTTGGGAACTAGGTACGCCGAGCGTAGGAGGAAAAATGAACTTGGTAGTGAAGTGTTTTGCTCATACTAATGTAATAGGTTTGTGACAGAACAGGGGCCAAAGGATTTTTGCCTAATGGCCCAAATACTGTAACCAATAAATCAGGCTTCCCAAAACCTTTTCTTTTAACTGCAGTGCCTACAGCATGCAGTACTATATTAGTGCTTTGAGTCACTCTGGGTGAAGAACCTGTGGGGTTGGTCCAGCGTCAGTGACAGGGAGCAAGGGTTGTTTAGAGCTGTCCTCAGTTTAGGCTGGGAGCAAGCAAGTAATGAGATTTACTAGTCATCCTGCTTAAGTAGGGCAGTGTGCTCCTTGTGCTGGCAGTGGGCCATGAGATCCTCATGTTGCCCTCTTGTCCCCATCTCTGTGATCACTAGTTCTCAAAATGGTTATTGGGGGGTTAAGTTTTGGCCATGATGTTGGGTGAGGACACAGGACCAATGGTAGCTGTGTGCCCTGGTGATGGTAACTGGCCACATGTTCTGGTTTTTGCTGAACACCCATAGCTGTGTGTCTGCTCGTAGCCCAACAGAGCTGGGCAGTAAAATGATAAGCTAAGCTTAAACTTCATATTGGGGAGAAATGGGGGAACATAGTACTCGTACTGAAAAAAGCAGCATAGTTCAGTGCTTCCCCAGTCATATAATGTCTTCTCTCCTCTACCTGCCTCTTCCCAGTTTGGAGATAGGGACTGTCCAGCTAGGGCAGAGGGTGTCAGTAGCACCGAGAGCATCCCTTTGCTCCAGTTCACGGAGTGAGCTTGGCATCCCTCCCAGTTTCAGATCCATTGGGAATAGAAGCTTGGAAGGGGAACAAAGTATTCTGCCAAAGGTGGAGTCCGATCAGTGGGGCTGGAGGACGTGCTGGTTGAAGCCACTGGGAAGGGAGTTGAAGCATACATGTTTTCCTTACTATGCGCCAAGTCATTTGCCACAGCTCAGCTGATGGACAGTAACTGGGGCTGTAGTAATTTAATTGCTTTTGATCATGTGTTTATATCCTATTTAATTTTGAAGGCAATTGCTGGTGGTTTGACTTTTTCTTCTGGGAGATGATTCAAAGTTGTCCTGTAATATTAAGTTTGCAGTCTTGCAAGAGACAAGCACTTCTGACCGCTGCTGAACTGGATGGGCTGGTACTCAATACTGCCCTAAAGTTCCTGCCTTTGTTGATGTGGGTCTTTGAAGGTTTGAGGTTATGACAGTCACGTTACTGGCTCTGTCATTTCTCTAACTTTTTCTTTCTTTCTCCCCAGTGGCTTAACTCATGAGTCTCACAGGAAGGATGTTGAACAGGTCTACCTCCGCTGTTCTGAAGGGTCAATAGAGTGGATGTATCCCACAGGAGCACTCATAGTCAACCTACGACCCAATACTGCACCTGCCTCTTACAAACATTTGACTGTTTGCATAAAGCCCTTCAAGGACTCTGCAGGAGCAAATATTTATTTGGAAAAAACTGGAGAACTGAAACTCTTGGTCCGAGATGGAGATCGCAGCCCCAGTAAAGTCTATTGCTTCGGCTATGATCAGGGGGGCCTGTTTATTGAGGCCACTCCTCAGCAGGACATTAGCAGGAAGATTACAGGCTTCCAGTACGAACTGATGAACAAGAGGATAGCATCTGATTTGCACACAGTTTCTGGTGAGTTCTGGGATATTGGTCATATTTTCACGTACTGTATTGGATGCATAACAGATGGCAGAGTGAGTGAGTGGGAAAGTGATGGGGTCTGAATTTCATGTGCTTTTAAGGATGTTTGATAAACAGGCTATTGCAGAAGAATCGATTTTTTTCCAGTTTTTGTTGTTGCTGTTATTTTTTGAAAGCTGGTAGCATAGGCTGAATGCCAAATGATTTGCTGGGGGCTACATTGTGAAGGATTCTCCCCTTGCAGATGTGGGGTGAATCTCAGGAGCTGAGTTTACCCTACAGTGAACTCCAGCATGAACTGGGCTTCTGAGTCTTGCTGTAACAGTTTTCTAACTACTTTTTAACTCAGTTTTTAAGACCCTGCTGCATGTTTTGAATAATAAACATTTAAACAAGGAGGAACTCCTTTTCCATGAGGTTTTTTTCCCCTCTGTAACTACTGCTACTTGCTGACCTAATTATTGCCTTTTTCTTTTTTTTAAACAAGGAAAATGATGTGTTCTTTCCTCAGCTCTGCTTATTACACTCTCTTGAGCATTACTATGCCATGACAGAGCTCTTCAACACCATGACAATACTTCCACAGTGCCGGTGGTGTCTTCTCTCTCAGCCATTATGAAAAGCAAGTTTTGTAGGGAGGAATTTTATGCCAAGGAAAAACTTGTAGGAAGGGAGAGTGGATAAACTCGAAGATCTTACAGGCCTGTAAAGTCTGATACTAAATAGCAAGCTAAATACTGTTTCGGAACAATAGCTCTAGGTGTGACCTAATTGTGCTAATCAATTAGATAGTTTGAGAAGAAAAACTAGCATTTCTGGAGGATGACGGGGGAAAGGGGACATTCTCTTTAGATAGCTGGTATCTGATTCAGTGTCTCTGTTCAGAATTGCCTCTAGCTTTTATCCCTGAAACCAAGGAGGGGAGATTTCCAGAATAGCTTGAGGAACAGCAGGTCTAGGGTAGTCTGTCCCAGATGACTAGAGAGGTTTCAAGGCTTAGGTATTTTAAGTGGGGAGGCTGTGGTGGCAAACAGATTTCTTTTGAAATGGTAGGGCATGAAGAAGAGTCCTCACACCTCACAGCATGCTTGAGATTACTTGGCCCAGGGTAAAACCCAATGTAAAGTGAGCCTAAGATACCGTACGTAGGCTGGCTAAATTCTGCGGTAGTGATGCCATATGCTGTGCCTGAGATGCTACTTGATAAACGATGGTGTGGCTAATTAAACTGCAGCTGTATCTTCTAGGCATTGCACCCCTCATCCTTTTTTGGAATAAGTGGTTGCAGAACTTGAGTCCCATCCTCTCCCCTCCCTTGGCTCCCTTCCCAACAAGACTGTGTGTTTGCACATACTCGCCACCCTTCTAGCATTTAGATGTTGGCACACCAATTCAGATGTGGCTTTTTTTTGTTTGTTTGTACAGATCTTGGTTGGCCTGACATGAACAGTTCATAACTCAGCAAGACGGTAGTTGGCTGAGGGCTAATGCAGTAACCCAAATAACTGATAGATGGCGTGTTTGCCATTAAAACAAAAAAACTATAAACACAAATATTCAAATATTTATGTTGCCTTCTATACTCTTGCCGTGTATGCAACTTGTAGCTTAATATTGAGGGTTCTGCATTTTCTCCACTTCTCCACTTTACAAGTGCAGCTATCTGCTGCATAGCTGTTTTCTCTGTAAGATCATTTCTGCAGAGATGAATATGCTGTGCAGAATGCAAGCTATGTAGTAAAATTCCATGGCAGAAGACATTAAATACATTGTTTAATCAGTTATTTGGAGAATGTTCCCAGATTCAGTGCTTATTTCTTTGAGAGGCTATGAGATGGAGATACAGATAGGCTAGCAATAAGTCACTTAAACTTACCAAAAAAAGTCCTGTACATTTTTTTCCCCAAAAAACCCAAAAGTTGAAATTGCTTTTGCATATATGTAAAACAATATGTGAGAAATATTGCTCATCAGTGCTGGTTTTAGTTTGCACATAGGTATGGTTTCTGCCGAGCTTTGCTAAAATCCAGAGCACTGTCTGCTGGCATAGTTAATATCACAAGCCGGTACAAACTGCTGTGTTTTTAGAATTAAGTGCTCTTCATTCCACAGAAAATCTTGGAGGTTTTTAAAGCTGATGGGAGTTTTCTTCAGACACTTTCAGAAGTCAAACTGAGGACTGAATCCAATTGCAGCCTTCCTCTTTGATAGGCAGATTAGATCACTTTTTCAGTGCCTGCTGTATTCTCAGCTGTAACACACACTGGTTGAATTTCAGTGCTGTCTTATAACACGATGTGGTGGGCTATCTGCTTCATGCTCCAAGTGTCGTGTTTGGACAGGAGAAGCATTTTAATAGTTCATCAGCAGAGCTTTCAGGGCAAACTAGAGATCTCTATTGTACTTTAAATTATTTCTCTTGACTGTTCTTTTTTTTTTTTTTTGGATCCCCACACTCTAGGAAGGGGTGTTGGGGGGTGAAAACATGATGAAAATGTCATACATGACTCTTTCCACTACTCAGTCAGATGAGCACTTTTATTCTCCTATAAATATCTTTATGTCTGGGGAAACTGCCAAATAGCTGCCTTGTGAGGCTTCGGTAGAGCAATGCATTTGGGGCTCTTTGCAGTTCGTGGACCTCCTTTCTTCTGTAGCTGCTTCTAGTTTTTCTGTGAATCCTCCAAATAAATGCCCTTTACTGAACTGTTCATTTGAGGTGGAAGTTTACAACCAATTGACTGAACTCACTGGTGACTTCATTGGAGAGAAGGCTTGAGCCAGAGGCAAATGCTGAGCTTAAAGGAGCTCAAAACTGGATTTAAGGTTCTGCATTTCTCCAAGTATACTTCTATCCCTTCGTCACGAATGTGGCTCATGGTGTTTTTGTTGTTTCACACTGCAAAAACTAGCCCGCTTGTCTCTCAGTTGCAGTTTGACAGGGTTCAGCATTGCTGGCAGTACGTGTGAAGAGATGACAAAGACATGAGATGCTGTTGCAGATGGAGGCTGAGGTGTGCTGGCAGAGCTGGGCAGAGGAGGCTTGCACACTTCCTGGTCTCAGTCAGCACTGCAGCGCTTTGTCTGATAGCGAAGGACTGAAAATCACAAGTATTGCATTATTTTCTTACAACTTTGAAGTGGGGGAGACGACTATCATAAAAGATGCAGGTGCGGGGCTCAGTAATCCAGCAGTTTCCTTGTGCAATAACTAACAACTTCTGTCTTAACTTTCCCTAAATGCAGTGTTTGTTTCCTGGTGATAATTATTGTACTCTGCCCTTGAGTTTACTCTCTCTTCCTAACCTGGCATCCCAGCTCTGATTAAAGAGTATAAGTCATCTGTTTAATACTTTAATGACCTGTTGTGTCCTCAGAGTCCTGACATTGCAGGGTGCATCAGCAAATCAGCAATGCTTGGCAGGGTGCCTGTGGTTTAATTAGAAAACCTCAAGTTTTATTAGTTTACAGTCATTCTTTCCCACTTAATCAGAGTCTAGCAAATAACTCAGTAGAAAACACACACAGGTTCTGAATTGGCCTTTCCCTTCTCTCGGGAAGGTTGAATGGCACAGTGCGGTCTTACAATTTTCCAGAGTCTGGGGCTTTAACCCTTTTCTTGACTCTCAGTCTGCCTTAAGGCTTCCATAACTGTAGGAAGTTTTTGTAGTAAACTGATAGGTTTTAATTCAGATTGCTAAAATTTGGTATGGGATGGTTTTTACCAGCAAAAAATCACTGTTCGTAAGCTGGAAAGAGGAGCGAAGGGGAAGCGTGCTGCAGTGCTTGTCACCATTTTATGTGAGTAGTCTCTAAGAAGGGTCACCTTGACAATTCAGACGTCTTGATGGGTGCATTCTCCTCGTGATACCCAAAGTGATGGGTGACTGAAAGTGCTTTTGATTTCAGATTGGGTTCTGGATTGGACCCCTATATAACTCCCATCCGCGCTGATGGTCCGTTAACTTCAGCTCATGTTTGCAGTAAGGCTCTGAAGCCTTAGTGTTTGCCCAACTGAAGAACCGAGGCATGGTGACATTTTGGCCTGAGGCCATTTGGGAAACAGCAGAACTTGTATAGGTTGCTGAATTCTGTTGATTCAAATCTTTTCTGCTTATGCTGGATGAAAATACTCAGCTATACTGGCAATGGATGGAGGTTTTGGCAAAAGTGTTGCTTGGCCATATAATTCCCACAAGTTTTCTGAAGGTGTTGACCCACATGAGCTTCTCAGCTATAGTGGAGCATGTGCCTGGTCTAGGCCTGCCCTCCGCTGCAGCAAGCTGCTTGGATTAAATTCCTATGAAAAGTGTGAAGGTCCCTTGAGAGTAATTTGGTTTTTATGTTCTTCAGCTTCTGCTCAACTAGTCTGAAACACTAGAATCTGTAGGCTTGACCCATCGTTTTGGAGAGGAAAGTCAATCCTCTTTCCCCTGCCCACTGAATGACCTTTATTTTGTTAGCTAAAATCTGTGTTTCGAGGGTGTTTCATCCAAGCTCTGGATCCAGCTTTATGGGAGCTGTGTAGTTTGCTTTCCCCATTGTGCACTCATGAGGATATATGTAATTTGGTTGTTAGAGCTCAGGAGGTAAATTGAAAGCCCTTTCAGTACCTACCTGCCTTTGTGTAGTAAAGAAGTCAAACTTTAACAAAAATGTCCCTTTATCTTGATGGCATCTACTTACTTAGTGCAGGTTCTAGTAACTGTTTCATACGTTTTCTTTATTAATGCTGGGTACCTGGATGAGAATATTAATAGCTAAGAAGTACAGCACTCAAGTGGGTATCTGAAAAACAAGGCAAAACTGGATAAATCCAGTTAACTAATTAAGAGCTATATTCAGCTATTTCCTGTGTGCTGTTAATTCACTGGCCTGAGAAAACAGATTGGAAATTAAGAAAGCTTGTAAGTACTTGGGCTGTGGTAGTGTTTCTACCAGCAAATAGCTTTTTGAAGCACCTCTCTTAACTTCTGATCTTTCATACGGTTCGGGTTTGGCAGAGGTGGGGGCACCAGCCTGCCATATCTCCCAGAGGACTGCTGTCATCACAGTTCATAGGCTTCTAATCTCATACTTTCCTCTGGTTTCTCCCAAATATCCAATTTTTTTTAGTTTTTTTTCTTCCTCCCCCCTTGGAGTCTGAATGTGCTGCTAAGCTTCGTGGCCTGCAGCAGAGATGCACTGGTGGATGTTTCACTTCTTGCCAGAGAGGAAACATTTTTGCTTCTTGTACCAGCGGCTGGTGGAGGAAGAAGCTGTGGCTGATGTGCCTACTCTCTGCCAAGGTATTCGCACTATGGAAATGAC